AGAAAATTTAATAACCATTTCTTATCACCAATCAGTTTTAAAACAGATGCCTTCCACTGCTCTCAGAAGAGCAACTCTTGATCGACACAGACATGAGAAGAGAATTTGGTTTAATTTCTGTTAGTGTCACCTGTCAGTGTAACCCAGAAAAATTGTTCTTTACCACCTCTCTGTAAAAGACTGTAAAGAGACAGATCCTGAGACACAGGATATTTGCAAGAGGATCTGAAATCCTGACTTTAAACCGGTACATACACCCCCATTCACCCTTTCTAAACTACAATGTACAATCTTTATCTCCTCTTTGCCACACTACTATTTATAGTCGTTACTTTTCAAAATTTTAAATCACTAGTGGCGATTTGTTGTGATACCTTAAGAGATAGTACTGATATGGTGTAACATTTCTCACAGGATAACATAGTTAGAAGAATTTATGGACTTATTTTACTTCAAAAAGCTTAGGTGTAATGGTATTTGAAAATCTTTCACTTTGTAATATTTTGCCAAAACAGACATACACCTAAGTAGTGGTAGCAGATGGAAGAGGTTAAAAGTATCAACTCCCCAATTACCAACTTTGCTAGGCCACCTTCCCTTCATAATTTAGACCCTTCTGTTGGAGATTTGAAAATATATTCCAGACAGATGACATGTTAACAGAATCATTTCATGGTTCAGTGTCTTCGCAGTATGATTTATTTCTTATCTCTAGGCACTGGAGGTCCCTTTTCAGGAGATTTATTGGTTAGATCCAAGAATTCATTCTGATGAGGGAAAACGTGTGCATCATCGCAAAACAGAACGTTAATATTTCCTCTAAGATAATGCTTCTTGCTCATAAGCAGTTTTATAAAAGTTTCATGCATGTGGCATCACAACTGTTTCCAAGACACTGCACCTTCATACAAGAAAATGTTCAGAAATGAAAGAGGTTTCTAAAATTTGTATTAGTCCATGAACTTATATCCTCTTCTCTTCTAAATTTACATATACAGAAATAAGGCCCAGAGTCTAATGAAGTATTTGACTTAAAATTTAACTGGCATTTGCTTTTTCACTCCATTTTTGCTATCAGATATTTGCTGCAGACAATACACTTTTCATAGGACAAGAAAGGTGTTTAACCACTGGAAAATGCTTAAGCATCTGGCCCACGGCTAAGGCTGTATTATTGAAAGTATGAAGTTAATACTTACACATCTTAAAAAAAAAAAATCATGTTTTCAAAAGCACTTAGCATCCAGCATCTCCTGTTTGGAAACACTGGTCAGGTTTTGAGGGAAGTGCAGCACAGTGGGATCACCTATCTTTTCTTATATCCTCTGGAAATAAGATATTTTGTTGAGATAAATTCAGTCTCTAATCCCATTTTTCATTGCTCGACTCAATGAATGAAAATCTGAATTTAAATGGGCATAAGAAGCCTCCTCTTCCCACAACACCATATAATCCATCTTGGTATCCTACGGTGTATCCCCAGATGTGCTCCTTTGCAGACCTCTGAGATATTCAGTCTGGAGCTTAGTCCATCCCTGCTCCAAGTTACATAACACAGACATGAATCTATGTTAGCTGGAGGCAGTAAGTAACATAAGTCCCTGACCTGAGTTCTACACAAGAAGATACCTCCAAAGATCCTGGGGGTATGTAACTGCTGTGACTGCAAGTATAAAATCATTCATCTAATGGTTGATTCAAATCCTATAAAGTCAAAGTGAAGACTCATTGATTTAAATTATACTCTTTTAAAGATGAAGGCCCAGTTCACTATGTTGAAACTCAATGCCAAGGCTAACAGCACACTTACTGGCTGTGTCTAGAAAAAAAGCCAATGACTAAACTGATACAGAAACTTAACTACTTGAGAATGGAAGAAACCTAGAGAAACACACATAGAGACTTCCGTAGCTAGTTTTGGCAATTTTACCATTACTTACACTTTTAAGTATTCATGAAAACAGATTATTAAACAAGTTTCAAGTGCTTGATAACAAAACTTGAAAACCATTGCAAAGTTTTCTGCTAATGTAAAAAAACCCAGCAGCACAGAAAATAGACCAGCCTAGTCCACAGAAGATAGTATAAATAGAAAGATATTGATCAGGAGGAGATAAGAACATAAGGGAACAAGGAACTAATTCTTGATAACTCTCTGCCTGACTGATGTCCAAGTGTCATTAACTGTGAACAGCAATGTCACCTCTTCTTCTCCAAAGTCTCATCAGCCTCATCAACAAAAATTATCCTGGGAGAACACATACAGAAACCAGATACATAAACCAATGAATCAATATACTTTTATTTTTATTGCTTGTTATTACCCATTATATTTATTGCTTGTTATTTGCAGAAGCTTTTTGCACTTCCAGATAAAATGGAGCTTGACTGTAGGGAACAAAAGTCACACCATAACTGTGCAAGGCGCATTGGTGTCACTTGGTATTTAGTACATTTAGTGCATTTAGTACATTTAACAATTACTTGAAACTTAATTTGTCAGTTTTACATCAGACCATGTCAGAAACAGGAGCTATTATCAACAACCTAAATTCTATATGTCTTTGTCAGAAATTAAGAGTATGGGTACATACACAAGACTGGAATTATATAAGGTTATATTGCTTCCTGAGTCGGGTCTTACCTCTGGAATCCTAGAATTAGCAGTGCATAACATTAGTATTTGCTCCATTGTATACTCCAGTGGTTTGAACAGCAAATTACAGTTGTGAGATCATTTTGGAAACTGGTTATCTTCTGCTAGTGGCCATTTACCAGCTGAAAGCAAAATCTAGCTGAAGAAGCTCTTTATCAGTATATACCTCAGGAGCTGTAAGCTCCAGACTTCACTCGAGACCAGAGATGCAATAATGAAAAAGAAAACTAAAAAGAAAAAAGAAACAGAAAGGTTCCTCTTCTTTTGATTGGATCCTACAACAACACTGTCATGTACAGAGGGGAAATAGGGATTGACTGTACTTTTCCTCTTCTCATAGGGCAGCTAAGGGTTACTAAATAAAGCTAGCGAGTGGCACACAAGAGTTCTCCCAATAAAATATAGCTACCCTGTAGGCTTCTTTGCTACTAGATTTTACAGTGGATAAGAATTTGTACTGGATAAATTCAGAGATGACAGTCAAGGATACTAACTACCTAAAAATCATCAAATAGCTTAATATTTGCATTTATAACTTCAGACACAGATACTATCACAAAAGCAGAAACCGTAAAGATGCCAGATCCCTAGGCTTAGAGGATTTTGGACTGAACAGTCTCAGAAGGTGAGCTGCAATGCTTCTATATGTCACTGCTTGAGCACCCAACAGCCAGTGCTTGGAAGAGCCTCTTTCAACCTGAGAAGAGCCTCAATGCTAATGTTAAAAATGCTGTTAAAAATGTGTGCATTTCAGCACAGAGATCAGGAACTGCACTGAGATTAATTCTAAACTGTCAAACTACTCTAAGAGGGGAATGCACCTTTTTGTTATATATTTGCTATCCCTCTGAACTGACTTCAAACAAGTACCAGGAAAGAAGTTGTATCTCCTACACCCCAGGCCCTTATGCCATCCAGCACTCATCATAGTCCATTTAATATGCATGCACAGTTAGCAGCAGGGTTATAGCTCATATAATGCACAGCAGAGGAAAATATCTCTTTAAAGTTGCTACCATTCTATTTGGTAAATATACCCATTGTTTCATTAATCAGATCGATAATTTTCCCTTGTTTTGCTAAGTCTTACAGAGATGCAACAACAAATAGAGAAAGTGGTAAACTACAGATAGAAATCAAAGACTCTATATGCCCTATTCTATGTATCTTCCTATTGCTTTGCTGTTACCTTTGGTATGACTTATGTATGACTCCTTTGAGCATTGATAAAATTTATAGATGTTGCTTTAGTAGTCTGAAGCCTCCCTTGCTGCCTTACCTGCCAGGACCTGTTTTACACTTGTGCAAGATGAACCACTGCTTCAGTATGAATAATTTTGGAAAGAGTGGTGGCAGTTCAGGTCTGAGCTGGGTAGAAGGAGATAACTATATGAGGCAGAACCCAGCATAACTGCATCTGCATATAAATAGACTTAATCAGAAATGCAAATTGCAATCAGAAGGAAATTTAAAAGTCTATGATAACCATGCAGATAACAAAAGGTCAAACACTTGTATTGCTGAAGGTTTTAAACTGTTATCAGTCAGTGGTGATTCTTTCTTCATGAACCAAAATGGGGAAAAGACAAGTATAGGCCAGTCTAATCAATGACAGACAAATTCTATGTTTCTTTGATTATTACAGCTCTTCTGTTTTTAAACTCTATTTTACACTGTCCAATCAGGAAGAGTCCATGAAATGAAAACAGATGAAATCAAAAGTAAACAGCATGAAATAATACAGCTAATTTACATGAGTATATATAGAGGGAATTTCTATCGCTTTTTCCTATCCAATACAGTATCATTCATACTGAATTGTCCATACATGACAATCCAAATCTTCACATTTTAAAATCCTTGGGTATCCGAAAAAATAAATTATGACTACAGCTTGCTGAAACTGTCAGACTGCTTCACAGCATTGTCAAAATTGTGTGTTTTTCTTTCATAGGAAAACAAGCCTAAGACTCTAGGGGAATAACATTTTAAAATTCCCCTAGTTATATGTGTTGGCTTCTACTTTTGAAATAACTGTTTTCATCCATAGTATATAAGAAAAGATAACTACTTTTTAAGGGAGGTACCTGGATAAAATATGATTTTATATTCTAATATAAGAATAAAATAAATATGTAAGTCTTCATAATTTCAAGGAATTTTAAATATGAATTATTGTAGAAATCAGGTTGAAAAAATAAAAATCTTTAACATTTAGATTTTTAACATCTTTTTGTAGGAGAGATTCTTAGGATTTGAAGCACAAACATCTTTCAATATTTCTACTTTCACTAGACTGCCTTTGAACAAACTAGTGAGTGAAGAGAGCCATCTAGTGCCATACCTTGGAATTTTAAAAAGGGTTTTCACCGGATGCATGTCAAATAAAGGAGGGTCTCCATCCCCCAGTTCAATAGCTGTTATTCCCAAGGACCATACGTCACACCGAGCATCATATGAGTAGTCATACTGTTGTTCACAAGCAATGACCTATCAGAGAAGAAGCAGAGAAAACAATGTTTTAACCTAATGTACAGTTCGTGCCTTCCTAGTGTGACATGAAAGTACTTTTTGTGAGTCATGTCTAAAACGCTATGTAGCTTTCAAATCCATATCTTTGCCCATATATCCCAGCTAAAGGAAACACCACAAAAAGGTAACTGTAAATTAGAATAGGTTTGTTTTCTTTCAAACAATCTCCTTTTTTTTTTTTAATACATTAAGCTCCATGGGATGCTTCAAACATCTATAAAAAGAACATTGCTACTAAATTCTGGTTTTGAAAGCGCTTCTTACAGAAACCTATTATAACAGCAGAGAACTCTATTGATGTTATTAACTTCTATGACTATTCATGAGGATAGACCAATTTGCACAGCTGTTTTTTAGATAAGAATGTTACATCAGTCATTTCTGCCTTTTTTGCTTTCTTAGTTTGTATTTACTAGATTTGAGTAGTTTACAAATCAGAATTGACATACCAAGTATCTTGTCTAAGAAAAACTGAAGTTAACAGGAATCTCTCCTTGGACATCAGAACTGTTTTATTTCACAAACTTGATGCACACTTCCAGTCAACCCACTGATCACATTCTAATAAGCTAACTATTCATATAATGTGAAAACAATTCCACATCTAAATGTGAGATTCAAACTAAAGTTTTAATTTAGCCCTTATCCTTGTAAAGGGAGCAGAAAAAAATTGCAGTTTCACTGCTTTTTATTCTATCATGATTCGGCATTCTGTTTCAAGTTTGTCTTCCCAAATCTAAACAATCAGACCACCTGCTTCGAAAATTTGTCAGATACTTGTATATTACCATTATCAGCTTCCATGATTTTTCTCATAGTTTTTAAAGTACCTTTAGTAATTTGTACTTAAGATAAACAGAACATGTCCTAGGGTGGCTATACCTATGTTCTAGAAGAGATTTGATTTTATTTTTTTTATAAATTCTGTATTACTTCTGAGTTCTTGTGTTAGGGCTTCAATTTGGGATAATACTTAGCAGAGATGCCAACATGCAAGTCAGCACCCCAGGAAGCTGCTGGCAGAGAGCCACCTGCTGTAAAATAACCTTTCCTGGAGAAGCTGCTGATTCCAGTTTAACATCTTAGTTCCTTTCTCCACAAACTGCACCTAACAGAGGCATTCCTCCCTCTGGTAGTGATTTTGTCCAACAGGCGCATAGGACTTGTCCATCTTTTACTAGGGACTCATGCACTGTGGTGCACTCATCATTTATTTTATCCAAAATCAGGGATGTTAAACACAGTTAAAATAATACTGAAATGTCTGGGGTTTTTTTGCACTAAAGTTGCACATCAATTAATTCCTTTTTTTTTTTTCCTAGAGCAAATCAGTTCAGAAAAATTAAGACCTTTCACGAACTTTCTAGCAGTGTTTCGACAACTGTTGAGATCTCTCTTTCTCCTCAATTTTTCCAGTTAGTATGCCAAAAAATGAGGAAAAATTGAAGTAAGCACTGCAAAAGAGGATTCAGGGGATTTTTTTCTTCAACTTGAAAAGGCAGAGTTTTGTTAACTAATGCAGTGCTTTTCAAAATTGTCACACAAATATAATTTTCCATCTCCCTTAACAGAATGCCTTAAGTGAAAGCTCTGGAATACTTTTTAGTTCTTAAAAATGTTCATTATAGCCTTGATCTCATCCCAGAGATCGCTCTAACTCTTGAAAAAGATGAGTTTTACTGTGCAGTAGACAGATTTTACACAACTCAAGCAGAGTGCTTTAAACCACCACCTCTGTTTCAGAGGCCATTTTGATAATTTTATTTTCATGCCCGAGAGAGAAGAAATCAAATGCAAAAAATTGTAAAGAAAGTCAATGTGGAGATCCATCAGAGATACTTAAATAATATATTCTAAATGGGCCATCATTGAAATTTTGCTCACAGATTGAAGAGGAAGCCTGTGTTTCTTGATTATTTTTGTTTCTTTATACAGTTCCCAAAATCATCTGTATATTCAATGACACTTCCTCAAAAAAACAAAAGAAAAGAAATCATCCAAGTCAGCTTCCAAGGCCATAACTTGGAAGCTTATCCATATGTGGCTAATTAAATGCACTGTGTTATCCCCCCTTTTTTAACACATGAAAAATATTTATCTGCTTACTTAAAAAGCTGTGAGAGTCAACTCCTGGAAGCAAATATCTCAGAAGTTGCCTGGTTGTCATCAGTGTTCTGAGTCCTTTGCAAATACTTGTCTGTTTGTTCTCAGACTTTATGATGCAGAGGAATATATTTTCAAGAGAAGAAGGACCTGCTCAAGGTCACACTGGACTTTGTCAGCAGTGCCACACACATAGCTGGTCTCCCACATTCAAAGACATCATGATTTTTTCCCTATAAGCACATCACAATTGCTTCTAACTACAGAATGATAACAAAATTTGCTGTGTATCTCAATCTCTGAAGGATTAACAAGGTACACTAAAATAATGAAAGTCAGAATGTTCGTAATGTTCTGACATTCACTGCATTCATAATGGATGGGGAAAAGAAAGTACGCTGCAATTGCTGTTTTAAAAAAGAGAAAAAATTCTTAAATCTTTTCTCAGCTTCACAATATATTACCTACCAAACAAGGACCATATAAACCACTATGTTTTAGACCATTAGCTTGACTATAGTGAGATCAGCCTCACAGTAAAGATACAAAATGAACTGCTCTTCACCAAGTACACAGCATGTACATGAAGTTAACAATCACTCTGGTTTGAAACAAGTTTTCCATTTCTGCTGAATTCATTACTAGAATCTTACAAACTTATGCACCCCTTAGAGAAACACAGATGCCATTAATTTTTAAAGTAAGAATCAAATTTTACAGCTTTTTCCTTTATGAAAGGTGCACACCAGCAGTTTGCTTTCTATGTTGGCTAGCAGAGAACATTCTACTTTGCAATGTGAAGAAGAAAGTGTTTTCTAAGTCACGGTTTACCAGCCAGTCAGCTCCTTGGGAATGCTTCAGTCCTGGTTTTCATTGAAAACTATTGTTACTCCCTGCAGAGCAAAAAAATCTCAAAAAGCAAAATACAAAAAGTGAATATACTATTGACTTATTTTTTTATTATGTTCCTGTGTCTATCAGGAACTCAGAGATACTTTTTTTTTTTGAAACATCTCTCCTTTTTGTTGGAGGTCTGGAGCTGAGAGCACCACTCAGCACTGCTGATGCCTGCTCTGGCCAGTGGGGCATGAAGACAGAGAGCCCAAAAGAAATGATCTGAAACTGAAGAACATGCTACTCCCTTTCTCTTCCTTATGCAAAGACATCATATTTGTACCATTTTTGTATCCAGCAAAATCCTCCCCTGCTTGCACAAATAAAACAGAAGAGGTAGTTTGCTTTGCTGCAAACATGTTCATGCCAAAGCTTCAGAAGGTGATGTAGTTCATCTTGATATTTCCTAGTAAACACCATGGTAATAAGCACCAAGTCTTTCACTTCAGCAAGGGTTGCTTACATGTACACAATGGCTTGGCTTGCTAAGGAGACCGCTGTCACCTTTCGTTTTAGTTGTAATTTCATCATGGTTTCATACCCAGCTACACTGCTGTTAGGTTGAAAAGCACCTAAACAGCACAGAGAAACAGACAGTGTTATGATAGTTGTCAACACTAATTGTGCTGAGGGTCACACTGGTAGAGAATGAAGTGAAGGGGAATTCACAGGTCTGTAAAAAACAATACATTAACAAATTGGTCACAGGAACTCAGGGAGATTAAGAGGAATCAGTGTCTAGGCATTTTGTGTGATTTATAATTTGTTCAGAAACAAAAAATTCACGGAGATACAGAAGACGATTCACACCCTGACAAGAAAACTTTATATTCAAGGATATAATTCTGCCTGTTCCGAAATCAATACAAATATTTCTTTGAACTTCATCAAGAACATAAGTAGACCAAAGGTGGATTTAAAAGAAGGAAAACAAGTAATATGGAGAACTACCTGTAATTCGTGCAGTGGTCATACTGACTCGTGCAGAGGGAGGAAGCTATAGGTATGTTTAGCTGAAGCAAAATACATCAAACCCTTTCAAGTTTACCCAGAATTATTAGAAGTGAACTTACTTTCACTTTGCCTCAGTATATACAGTGCACGTACAAAAGCAGAGCTGCCAGCATACACAATACTAACAACAGCAGCACAGATGTGCTCCCTGGAGATGACTGCTCCACACTGAGTGCTAGGGACCCACCCACAGAAGGAGTCAGAAAGGCTGACGCTCCTGAAGTGAGGCAGTGTGTGCTCCGCTGACGTAGCCAACTAAGCAGCTTATGTGGTGTGTGAGCACTGTGCTGAAAAGCACTGCGTATGTAAAACGAACGTGGCACAAAAATGCTACCCTTGCTGCAAGGAGAACAAAAGCACTAGCTATGCCAGTCAAACGAAAAAAACAACTCAGTTTCTGTGCTCCACCTGACACTATGCAACCCAACTTCATTTATTTACATTGGAAATATAATATTAAATATTCTTCCAATTCCTACACACCGAAACCAAAAATGTCTTTCATGACAGCATTTAGCAGCACCGAGGATACCGAATTAGCCAGAACAAAGTGATATCTATCTACCTCTACCTCTCCCCCACTTCCTCTTTCCCTCCCTCCCTCCCCTCAAGCACATTCATGTAATTAAGAAAAAGTAAATTTACAATTCAAATTTGTTTCATATTCTTGCATTTTCTTCTCTGGATTTCAGTTCTTTATTTAGTATCATCATAGAAATTTTTCCATGGTGTTTCAGAAAACGGTTACATTGTTAGAAATGTTACCAAAATAAGCAATACTTATTTTACTACCAAAGTAGTAGTTAATATCTTAAATAAGTCTTATAAGTAATTATCAAAATTAACATTGACTCATTGTAAATTAATAACACATCAAGTAGTCAAATTTTAACAACTGTGAGTAATCAATTTTTATTTTTAACTCACCGAAGTGAACTATTCCTGAGACCACTAGACTGCTCTAGCAGCAGGTTAGATTTGTAGGGAAGCGTAATACCTTTTGTTAGACCAAATGATACAGTGAGGAAAAACACATAAGCTTTCAAGCACACAAATCTTGTTTTTATACCACAAGACCATCACAGACTTAACACTACTCATATTAATAGACACATTTTGCTTCTGATCCACAGATTTACTTCTGAGATGTAAGTGTACACACTGTACACCTCATACAAATTTGTAAATGGTCTTTCACAAAGACCGCAAAAACTAAGAGGCAACTCCAGCCTCATAAGTAAACATATTTCATGTAGGGATCTCAGTGCAGAGCAGTGTGGTATTGAAATGTTTTTCTCTGCTGTTTTGCGCTTGTTGTTTTGATTTGTCTTCTAAATCTTTAAACACTCAACACGAAAGCTTTACAATCCCTCCATAGCTGTTAGAACAAAACAGAAGCATCTGCAACTCCTCCACATCCCTTCACAAGACTACGGATATGTTATCAAGGTTACTGGCAACATTCCCTGAGGTTCCCTCCAGCAGCCATGTACTTTTCAACCCCATCCTGCCATGCCAGCCCACATGGAGGTAAGCTCTCCTGGAGGCAAGCTCTCCTGGAGGCAAAGGAGGAGGTGATGCATTCTGCCAGAACTAGGTCTTCAGGGAGAGCTCGCTGGCGCTGTCCTGCTGCTCAGGGATGACCTCATCACTCTCTACAACTGCTTGAAAGGAGGTTGTAGCCAGGTGGAGGTTGGCCTCTTCTCCCAGGCAACTAGTGACAGGATGAGAGGAGGTTTAGGTGGACACCAGGAAGAATTTCAGAAAATATGATTAGACATTGGAATGGGCTGCCAGGAAGGTGGTGGAGTCACCGTCCCTGAAGGTGCTTAAGGAAAGACTGGAAGTGGCACTTAGTGCCATGGTCTGGTTGACATGGTGGTGTTCAGTCATAGGTTGGAATTGATCTCGAGGTCTTTTCCAGTCTAATTGATCCTGTGATTCTGTTATTCTGTGATATCCTAACTGCTTGTTTCAAGAGTTAAGTTTCCAGCTAGATAACGATAACCTAATTGTATTTGTGGAAAAAGAAAACTGCAATTTTATTCGAACTAGATTTTCTTCAAACGTTAGTTATGCTCTGGAGGTAGAAAACAAGACATGTTAATGTTTAGGACTACAGATGTAAAGTAGTTCAAAATGTGTACAGATGTAATGAAGTTCAAAAGCTTCAAATCTGATTCGACCTGCTAGCATACAACACAATTTATTTCTGCATATTAGAAGAAGATTTTAGGTAACTTAAGTGTTTGGCAATAGGCAGTTTTAAACATACTAACACTATACTGGCCTATTTATCTTTTCTTAGTATACCTGTATCCAGTGTTTCAGTTTCTGCAAGTCTGTGTTTGTAAGTGTGAGACAACAGTAATTAGGTTAAGTAGCAGTTATTGATTTTCACTGAGTCTACTTTAAAGCTGCTCTCAAACTGACTTATCCTGTTGCTTCCTCAAAGCCCAGTTTTTACCTATATTTTCATTTTTCAGAAAAATTTTTGTTAATTACAAGCTCTGCTCAAAACAAATGCTGAAGGACAGATCTTTTGTATTTGTCCTGATACTGCTAAACAAGTCTCACAGTCATGAGGAAAAAGGAGCCAAGATGTTTGAGTCAAAAATGTTAAGCTGCTTTGAGTGCTGCCAGGAAGAACAGTGAGTTGAACACATTCCTTATGCCACCCTCAGTCACTGCTATTTTCCTATGAGCTTTTGGTATTGCAACTACCATGCCATACAATCCCTTTGATATGCTGTGCAAACTTAATCTTAAAATATGATGGTTTTCTTGATTTTACAGACTATTCCTAACCCAGGTTGATCTAGTGATTCCAGTTTCCAGCATATCTGTCTCCTGATCACATCCAATTATTCCTGTCAGATTGAATAATTCTGCATCATTCTTCTTCAGGTTTTATTTTCCTGGGGTTTACATTTGAAAATATGCCCTGTCAGGTTCATTTCACTCTGAAACACTCCTGCAGTCCCTTCCTCCAAAGCAAGGATTCTCATCTCCCCTCTTCTCTCACCCTTCAGATTAAATCCATCTTTCTCACCATGAGATGAGATACCACAATTACCTTACATATTGACTGAGGTCTCTATGTTTCACACATGGATAGTAAAAGTCTAATTAAAAAAAAAAAAGTCTTCATGCCTTCTATTTCCCTGATTAGTAACATTTCAGTCCTGTCCAGTTATTTTATGGTATTTTGGGGTTTGACATAAATTCTACCCTACGTCAAAAACCTTTAGGCAGCAAGTTTTTTGCAACTGAGTGCAAAACACTGAGTTAAGTGCCTTTCTAGTGTTTACTGATCTCACCACAGTCTAATCTAGAAAACACTGTTCCTAATAAGCTGTTACCCAAGCAGAGCTTTTCAGCTTATTGCAGTCCTAATCTTTCACATAAAAATCAGGCTGCATATTTTAAAAATACCAGAAAGATCTCCCCAGAAATAAATTGCACTTCACACCTCACTTGAAATCTGTCATTTATATGAACACAAAGAGAGCAACTGTAGTGACTTGAGCACATGTGTTATGCAACATTTAAAAGCCATTTCAACCACAGTATAATGGATATCTGAGCACCTTACAGCTGTTTTGTTACATCTATGGAGCCTGATCTGCAGGTCATACACAGGCCTGCAAATGTGATATGGGTTACCATGTTTATGGTACTGGATTGGTTGTTTCAACAAATCTTTTCAGAACAGGAAGCATTCAGAGCTACTCCTGTTCCTGTTTGATGTGCTGTGCACACAACACACCTTGGTTACATGTGTGTTGTATTTTCAGGTCAAAATTTTTCAGCTCAAAATATCTTCTTATCTCTTTGGCTTTTTAACACAAGAATTAATATTTTCAAGAGAGAAGGGAAAATAAATTTGATATGATTACTACCTTTGATGGCCATTATTCAAGCAAAACAATACAATAAAAATAACCTATATTAATCCAAGTTCAATAAAATATTTCATAATATGTCCATTATTATCTAGAGAAGTATTTTATAAAGGTCTCATTTTAGAAATGTGATTTCTAAACTGAGGTGATTCCATAAATAGTGCTTGCACAGTGGTTTCTAAGGTATCTTGTGTCTCCTTTGTGACGTAAACTGGTTGTTATGGAGATGGTAAAATATCAACTATTCTTTGTGAGACTGTGTGAGATCAATTTTGGACCCGTTGCAGCATCTTTTCTCTGCTCAGCTATAATCAGGTTTCCTTAGCAACAAAAATAAATGTATAAAAAGTATAAAATGCTTTAAAACAAATGTTTGCAAGAATACTTTTAACCCTTTGACATACAGAAACAGACCTGTGTGTATTTGTAACACATGCAAATTCCATTCCAATTGCCCCAAATTTGTATGGCTTTAACAGAAAAGACTTTTACTGTTACAAAGGCTGAACAACTTAAAAATAAAGACTACTCTTTTTTCAATCTTTGTTTTTAAGTTTTATAATCTATACATTTCAGAAGTACTTTTTGTTCCTTAGTGAAGGGAGGGCAAAGATTGACATCTTTCACCCCAAAATCTGGTGTTTGGGAAAGTATGCACAGGACTTTTGTTCAACAGTGCATTAAATGAAATAGAAGGAAAAGGGTTATGTCTGGGAAGTAATAGGTAAAAATATGGTCTAAGATACTTGGCTAAGTCACCTGTATATTATTTTTCTCCATTTTTAACCTATGCTAGTCCACATGTTTAAGTGTGTAGGTCCCCAGTCAATGATTAAAGAATACATAGCTGAGTCAGGGTTTTGCAGAGTCCTATAGCAAGACTGGAAAAAAGGAATTCCTCCTTCTCCTCCCAGTCTGTATTTGCAATACATACAATTTTTGTCTGGAAAGTTGTAACATTTTCAAGGACCCTCGGTTATTTGTAGATTGCTGTACTTTTACAGAAACACTAAACAGAATAAAATAATGAAACTTATTAGAAATCCATTTTGTATACTCTAATAGTATACTATTTTTTCTGAACAGAGGCCTAGATGTAAGGCAGAAACAAAGCCTTAGGGGAACCTATGTGAAAGTGGCAACAAAGTGTGCATTGCAAAGAATGGAGACAACTCAGGCACATTTGCCTACCTCAGGTGCCATCCAAAAGGGTGTCCCCACTGAGGTGTTTCTGCGTAGCCGCGTGCTGGTGAGCTGGGCTGAAACACCTGCAGTAAAACAGATCAAAGAAACTTGGCATTAAATTCATTGTCATTTCAGCCAGTTTATTTCAAGTATCTGGAACACAAACCCCAAGCCTGGGAGCACAGCTGCAGAACGCCTGGCCAAAGGACGTGCAGCATTTGCACTGAATTATTTGTTTAATATCAGATTGCTGTTTTCATTCAGAATTGCTGAGAGATTTTTGGTGAATGGCTCGCAGTTTGAAGCACTTTCATTCACACTAAAAAATTGAACTGGCACCCAAATATCACAACTTGACTTTAAAACTTCCTTTTCAGAAATTGACTCTCTGATCATCATTGGTGGGAAACTTGCTCACTAGCGTATTTGCAGAAGCTCCTGTTCAACAAAACACTTATGCACTTGCTTAAATCTTTCCCTACTGAGAAAAGCTCAGAAGCCCAAGCTTACACTGCAGCTTGTACTTAAGGAACTAAGCCCATACTTAAAACAAAACTTTCGGATCAGAGCTTTGCTGACTGGAGCTGGACTACTGAAGCACAACTGAAAAAACCCCAAAAGAATGAATTAGAGTGCAATCAAACAATGTTAACAAATCAGAATGAACTTTCACAGCAAATCTTCTGTGCTCTAGTCAACATATAATTGATGGAGTTCAGCCCAGCAGCATTCCAATGAGTCGACACAAATCCAACATTGACTTAAAAATATATTTTTGCTTTAACATTTTTTAAAAACAAAAACCACAGTGGTTTGCCTCTGTGGCATTACCCAGAGACAAAAATGGGCAGAAACACATATATACACACTGACTGATGCCAGTAAATAAAAAACTGGGATTCATAAGTTAAATTATTTGAGTGCTGGCTTCAACATTCAATTCTGTGTTAGTTTTCCATTTTGTGCAATTGCAAGTCTTCAGTGACTTCCTGAGTATTGCTGTGAAACAGTTAATGGCTGTTAAAGCCTCTGTGCATTTCACTGTGATCTCTCTTCAGCTAGCTTAATTCCTAGCTGCTATCTAGGGATATTCCAAAACAGTGCAAAATACCAAAGAGCTGAGAGAGAGAGCATGAGAATAAATGAATGATAAGTTGCAGACATTTTAGGTCAACTTATATTGTGACCATCATTTATTCAAATATATTAGGCTGTCAAGAGCAATTGAGGGAAGAAATGTGTGTTACATTGAAAAAACAAGCTGTAAAGTCAGCAATAAAGGAAAGAAAAGTCTCAATTAAAGATATCTGTGTAACCCTCTCTGTGACCTAATATCCATACGTACAGACTTGAATACGAAGGAACTTTTTAAATCAAGATTGTGTCTCATTCTGTGGACAGAATGGATGGAATTCACTGAATATGTCATAATTTAATTTTTTAAACCCCACTGATTTGAATTCTCACTACTTATTTAATATATCCAATCCTATACTAAATTTGAAATTATTATTTATTTTATTTTGACATGTTTCTTTCCCCACTCACCAAACAATAAATCTGCTTAACATTCCCACAAACTGGCAGAGGATTATTAGTTCCAGGGATTAACCTAAAAATATCCAAAGCATCCACTGTGTTTGGGTACTTAATCTGAGATCTTTCACTTTTCAGGCACTCCACATGCCTCAAGTAGAGTTGCAACAGATCTCAGCTGCAGTTCAAGAACACATAGTTCTTCTGCAAAGGGGGCCAAGATGTTTCAAACTAGCTATTGGGAAACGAGGAACAGAGTTTGATGTGACCCTCCAACATCACAGAGAAACACTGGCAGAAGCAAGAATAGTCTCCAATTTGATGCCATTTAACTTTCTGAATTGCAAGTCCCTTCTCTTCTTGAACACCTTGCAATTGCACTACGTATCTTTCACTTTCTGCAGCAAATGAGACAAAACAGCTCTACAAACAATATCACCCGTGACTCAGTCCTAAATCATTTCCAGAATCTCTTCTCTGTGACTACAGCTGTGGACTAGACGGGGAAAAATAGCAACTTAATAGAAGCTTGGCACTTGATGCTTCTTTAGTCAGAAAGTCCATAGTTATGTGGGCATTTCTTGGCATTTCCTAAACCATAAAGCATTAGGGAACACTTGAGATTTAACTCACATTTTTTTCTGATCCTGTCATGTTTGTTTTAATGTTCTAGTATTACTGTTGTAATTTAAAAAGTAGGAAAAAAACCCTGAAACATAAATGTGAAATCAAAGAGACCCATGGGACACCAGAAAGATTGGGATCCTCGGTTTCCTTGAATGTGCCACTTGGAGTTGTGTCTTTGGAAGCTTCGCTTCTGCTGCAGCTAAGGCCTCTAATACATCTGATAAACACATTTTGCTTTGGGGAGAAAAGCCAACTTTTCCCATAATGGAATACAAACAAAGATTACTCTGCCAAAATTACCTCAAGTGAGAAGGGATCTTCCTCCCTTGTAGTCAGTCAGAGACTCACTCTGAGTTTTGCTTTAGGCCATATGTTTCTCCCTACACTATTTTAATTGCTGTCTTTACCATTCAAAACAATGAATTTCTGTCCCTAAAAGACACTAAGGAGTCTCTTATTTCTGAACTTACTTCAGCATCTTCAATAGATTTTTATATTAAATTCATAATACCATGACATCATCGATATTAAATTTTCTTTCCACTACATAAATATTTTAGGATTTAAAAAATAAAAAGTATTTGCAGATTTTTTTTGGCACACTATTTTACCCCCATTCTTTTGTGAACATTTTTCTTTACCTTCATGCACCGCTAAACAAACATCTGTTATTCACACACTACTATTCTCAATGACAATTACTTTATGTATTATAGGGTTTCATTAATAAATCATATTACAAATAATCTGCATCTGTTACCTCTAATAAAATTGCCATTCCCTTGCACACATATCTGAGGGATTAAAGCATTTCTTTATTTTTCTAAGTGTGTGTTCCAAGCAGGAAAAAAAAGCTGAAATGACTTAAATTCTATTGCCAATCGGTTTCTATTTCCCTCCTTCCCTTCCTTCCTGCCTCCCTCCTGTTTCTTATGATGCTTCCAGACTGGCAGTGCTCAAATCTAACAGTAATAATTACAAATTAAATGGATGTTGGGTTTTGGACCCAAGGGACTATTTTACCTTCTGCTCAGAGGGAAAAAATATGCTTAAGGCTAGCAAAACCATTTCAGAAAGTATGTTTCCTTTTCATATGCAAAAGATAGAATATCTAAATTTAAATTAGGAGGACAACTGCCCTGAAACTGATATTCCTTGTGAAATGCAAAAGAGCTTTGTAAATAAAATGGTACCTCGTAACTTTTTAAATTATTAAATTAAGTTTAAGCTTTTAAAAGTTAAAAAGTCTATTACTGATTTTTAGTTAGAATTTTTTTTCTTGCTGAAATCAGCTTCCTTCAGCATTTTTCCTTCTCAGAATAATTCTGAGTATCCTTCTGAAAAAGTCTCTTACTGTGGCATTCTGCCTTCTCAGGGGAAAGTATACAAATGCCTTTGGCTGAACTGCATGTATCAGAAAAACAAAGGGGAAGTGGTCATTACCAAAGTCAACGAGCTTGACTCCACCTTCTGTTGTCAGGAGAATGTTGTTCCCTTTCACATCACGATGAATGATCCGGTTATTGTGTAAATGCTGGAGGCCCTATATACCAGCAGTAACAAAAATAAGTTTACTCCCTTATTTAAAAACAATTACCCTACTATTAGTGAATGTAATGAAGACAATCTGCACATACTCTATAGAAGCATCTGTGCACCGCATTACACGCCTTGACACAACCCCTGCTGCTATAATAGCCCACATAATATTGTCAGCATTACCATACTTTATAAATGGAAAATGGATGTAGGAGATGAGTAAATTGCACCCTCTGCTGTCATTGCAAGCCCAACGAACATCCTTACCAAGAGAGCACCATATAAGATGTATGAGATTATAGCTTCATCCAACCTTCGGCCACACTTCAGCAGCCCTTTGACAAGCTCTGTGACAGAACCTCCATTGCACAGCTGTGAAGGGGGGAGGAGTTGTAAGGACGGAAAAAAAACAAGTTCTCAATTACTCAATACTATACATCACTAGGCTATAAACACTTAATGTGCAAAACTGCACTGCACAACAAGTCTGGAGAAAACTAGATTTTCCCCTTGCAATTATTTATGCTGTTACTCCACCTTAGAACACATTTTATTAGCAATGTTATTAATAAATCACAGCAGCCTGGGTGGGGGAAGGGAAGTGAAAACTGAAGATTATAAACTGTAGTTTATAAAACATCACTAAAAATCAAAATATTATGAACAGGACTGTAATTTGATGTTAAAAGAGGATTTATAAATCCAATTTACATTATTTGATTATTTCCCAACAATATGTGCATTGCCTTTTCAAAAAAATCCTTCTGTGCAAAGAAAAGGCCAGACAGAAAATACTGATGCTCTTGACAACTGGGAGGTAACAAATTCCAGTCATTTTACACTTTCACTCCATCAATGCTCCTGATGACATGCACTATAAAGTAGACAGAAGCCATATCTCTATACTCTGATTTAATGCCATGTGCTATCAACAAAAGAGATACATTCTAATCCAGAAAAGCAGGTTCTTGCAAGCATTTCCTACCAGTGGGCTGCCATATAACAAAAGAGGAGGAGAAAAATCAAAATTAGAATCTTTGTAAATATGTTCTCACCCACACTATAATTTACTGTCCATGCTGCTCTAAGCAGGCATTCGTCTCTATCCTTTCTCCTCTTTCTGTGTCCTTTTATTACCTTAATATTCAGAATTGTTGGACAAAAAAAAAGAAAAAGATGGGAAAAGTGACTGCCTTTCTCTCATTGAATTTTCTCTTCTATACCTGTTTTTGTAGCCACCACCCTTACCAACGTTTCTGCCATACAGAATCACATGAATTTCAACATAAGTTCATTTTACATTACCAGTTAAAGTACTACAGCGTAAATCAGGAGAACGGTATGAAAACACAAACTCTCAAGTTTTGCATATTTCAAATAGCTTTTATAAACTGTTTATCAATTCAATCACAAATTTCTGTTATATGTTAATATTTTCCTTAATTTATTACTAACTTCCACTTGTATCCAAAAAATTTCACTAGACTGAAAGTTTTAGTTCATGGAAAGGACTGGATCACATGATAAACAAGACATCCTTTACGTAAATAAGTTCTTGAAGCAAAATTTTTTCACTGAAAACACTGGTAAGTTCCGCAGAAATTGACTTTATTTTTTAATTCATTAGTAGAATTCATTAGTGAATTTATTTTTTTATTTTAATAAATTAGGTGGGAGCATTCAGCTCAGTATCAATCATCATATGTATTTACATGAAAGTGCATGTTTTTCTTTCCATGCTTAAACACTTGCTGACAAGCCATTATGTCAAAGTTTTTTATTTATTGCTTTAATTGTGCTAACTATTCTGTTGAGACGGGCTGTATGAAACTTACCTCTAGCCTGAAAATAAAATATATAAAAGTATGCCCTAACTTCAAAAAAACCCCAAGCTGGTTCTGACTGAAAAGTAATACAGACTGACAGCTGTTTGGTACCATATGTTAAATGAATGACTGACTCTGAAAATAAACATATCCCACAAACACTCCTGCAGCTGTCAGTGACACTATTCTTGACAGCAAAAATCTTGGACAAAATTAATTTGAAAACTTCATTATCACTTCATACTTAATGGCAATACTTTAAAAGGTGGAGTGATGCACATTTAAATGGAAAAGTAGGGAAGTTTGCTTAGTGAGTTGTCCAAGACTTGCATCATCATAAAAATACTTTTGGTGTCCATTTTTGCTACCCTTCCTCATCATAGGCAGTTATCAAAGTAAGGCCCTGCTTGGACTGAGTAAACATGGCAAAACTGTGCCTAAAGGAAAAAAATTCTACCTTTTTATTACAAATTTTGGAAGTCACACATCAAATGAATGTATTTCATCAAAGACTCAAGGATCAAAGTCTGAATACTCTGTATATTCCCTTTTACTGAAAATGTGTCATTAATTTATAATATAACAAGTAACTGCTATGCATACATAAATTTGCATGTAAATTCCAAGGCAAAAAATAGTTTGCCTTGTCTGGTAAATTTGTCCGTATAAGGAAAACACATTTAGTGTTTGATACATATAGTGTCAAATTGCTTCAAAACTTTGGATAATATGCACCAAGAACCACCTGAAATGTACCTATTTAATTGACAGAGTCTATACAAACGTACTGACCTGCTCAAATTCTACAGTCAATTTTGTTACATAGAGTATGTCTAGATTTTGTTTTACAAAATTTTGTTATATGGCACTTGATGGATCTTTTAGAAACAATACACTTGTACTTAGAGAGAAAACACACTGGAAACCAAGCCCAAATCCAACATGATGCCAGCATGCATACAGTAAAAAACAACACCAAAACAAACCCACTAACATTCCTTTTTAATAGTTACTGAAACTTAAGATGAAACAATCTAAAATTTTTCATTCAAGCTACATGCTTCTCCAGTACACAGAAGTTAGATGTATTGTTGGGATTAACTTAAAATGGAAATGAAGATTCCCTATTCTGATTCCAGTTATCATTCAAAAACAGGGAGTGGCATTTCTAAATCAATAATTAAAAAGTGAATCCTAACTTTTACCAGTCTGGTTATGACAGAGATTAAGGTCTGAATGGTCCGTTACTGCCCCTGAGAGCAGTAACTGTCTGTGCAGAGTTCTGTATCAATTAAGCCTAGAAAGCACATAGAAGAAATCCTCATCTTGCAACAACCTTTGGCAGTCACTTAACTGGAAACAAGACCACCAAAGTACATTTGACATTGTAAGAATACTGACTGTTGCTGAACAAGAAGAGTTAACAACCAGTCTCTAGTTTTAAATTACCATAAAACAGACTTTCCCACTACACTTTCACTGTCCACTTCTTCAGTAGGCAGCTTATTTGTTAACTGCCCTTCATGTTACTACTTCATCATCTTTTGCATTCGTCTCAAGTGCTTGAGTTTTCCAAAAGTTTAGAGAAATGTCTTATCTAATGTTTCCTCCAATAAGAAAAAAAAGGAGCTGTTTATTTTGGAGGCAGAATGTAGCAACTTGAACAGAAATTAAATGTAAGGACATTCCCTACTGAACAAACTTTCAAATGGATGTGATTTTCAACAGCAGGCTACCACACATCATCTATCAACAGTCCTTAAAGACCCCAAACTGAGAATCATGAAAGCCTGTGACTCTTTAGCAATAACAAACAAAAACCCAACCACATTTTCTAGGTAAGCTGTAACATAATCAAAATGTTTTTACCTCAAGTACTAGCCAGAGCTGTCCTCCCACATATTGATCTGCTTTGTAAAACATGCCATAAAATCTAACAACATTAGGATGATTGGGAAGAAACTGCAAAATATTATATTCAGCTTCAATTTCTTCATCTACATCCTACATAAAAAACAAACACACAGAACATATAAAGACAGTTACTCTCAACAAAACAAGAATAAACTCTCGTGGATAAAAAGAACCATTTATTAGTTTGTACTTTTAAATGGTTTTACTTTAATGCAGTTGAAGTTACACTAAACTGTAAATTTAATGCACACCAAATCATGCCATTTTTGCTCTTTTTACATACAGAAAAGTGAAGCCTATGTAAAGCAAGCAGTTGTTCTTCAAGCATTTTTCAGTGCATAATATACTTAAACAAGAAAATTAAAAATCATACTTAACTTTGCTCAGTTGTCTAAATAAGAAATTTACACATGTATGATTTTTAACCTGGTTTTAATCATGCATACTTTTAACATGTGAGCTAAATGGAAATATATGAATCTTTGATTTATTTTTTTTTCTATGGTCATCAGATGGGATTAAACAGAGAACAATTTCACTAAACCTCGAAGGGGACATCGGCAAAACCAAAAACATTCTTATGAGGAAAGACATACACCAGAAACAATGAAAGAGAGACAAAACAACAGACCATGAAATAAGAAAAGGTTACTAACTATTTATTAATGGAAGAATTCTGTGACAACTACAAGATCCTGTTTAATATCAGCACACAGGTCACAATTCAGAACAATGCTCAAGCAATGGAACTTTCCCTGTTTCTGCACAGACTGTGACTATTAGAAAATTTAAGCTTGTGCCTTCTTCAGATTTATACAAGAGAAAACCACAATGAATTTCAGGAGTGACTGATGACAGAAGTATAATGTTTTTAGTAAATATCTTAGCACAACTGCTGTGATCGAACTCCAGCTCAACCCATTCTGAAGAGCTGCCAGGTAAGTCGTCTATTGAAAACTAGGGCCTTGGTTCTCAAGGGAAGATAGGTATTTAATACCCACTAAAACCAAAGCTGGCACAGACCTCTGAGGATCTGAGATGTGCTCTTCGCTTTTTATCTTAACTATTACCTCACACTATTATCTACTTATAAAAGGTAACTCTAAAATATCCTAAAGTTCACAGTGCTTCTGTGATGGGAAAAGTAATTCTTCCAGAGAGTACACAGAATAAAACAAGAACCTTAACAGCATCTTTTATTTTCCCTGCTATAGCAGGCCCTATGAGAAATTCTCTGTGCCTTCACTTGCATGCTCCAAGCACAGATAACTAAATTTACACCAAAAGAATTACACAGACCTAAAATAGAAACTAGGCAAATTATGTACTCAAATAAGATGATGAAATTGTAAGCTCATCTTTCAGTTTCTGGTACTACACACTCCTTCGGTCCATGCATTCTGCAAAACTGTTCCCTTCTGGATGTTTCAAAATCTTACACATTTGATTTACATTTCAACTCTGGTTTACAATTCTTTTCAATTAACACTGAAGTTACAGTTTAATATTTTTTACTTACACTGACAGGATCCAGAATCTTTACTGCCGCCAGGCTCCCGTCTTTCTTATTGGCAACCTTATAGACTTTACCGTAAGTGCCTTTCCCAATAGTCTCTATAATTTCCCAGGTATCTGAGGGATCGGCTAACGATTCTAGTCCAATCATACTGGAATTATATTGAAATAATCCATACAATGGCTTCCTGGAAAACAAAGCAGACATACATGGATTGGGAAGCCCCAAGTAACTCTGTACTAAAGACGGCATCTTATGATAAAGAAATCAGATGTTGTCCAAATTTGAGAAGAAATGCAGATAGAATCATAAATGAAAACCAGACAGAAAGGTAAGATCACTCAGTGAAAAGGATGGAAACAAAACTCTGGGGACCACTTCTCTTTCCTTATTTTACTGTATGTATTATTTGCTTCAAACATTGCCCCACACGCTGCACCATTCTAAATAAATTTTAACAATTTCTGACAAAATCCAACCCCTTCCTCTACTGCACACTCTTTAATGGGCATTTTACACAATTGGAGTAGCACAGCTTATGAAATGAGGTCTTATTTCTTGTGCTTTGAAAAGCCATGTCATGGTTTTTACATATATTTGTGTCATGCTCCCTGCAGATTGCCAGACAGTTCTTCAGTAGGTATAACATCTCACTATATCTGACTTATCTACAACAGGGGTACCTATAATTACTTTAATAAATTTAAGACTGGGTTGGCGACTGTATAAAAAAATACAAATCCACTTGAAAATAGGGAACAGGTACACCACTGGGGTGACATCCATCACTGGAGATGTTTCTGTATGTCAGTCACAGTGTGTTATGGTCTACTACCGTGGCTGACTGCATCTCCAAGTCCAGGAGATCTCCAGGTCAGGGGACTTGTTTCCCCAAACACTCCTGAGCAGATCCTGAAGCAAAGGGACCACTGCAGCCTATGCAAAGAGCTCCTTCCCACCTTGGAATTACATAGATGGTAAGTTCTGGTGATTAGGAAAATAACAATACCATTTTAGGATTTCAAGTAGTGAGAACGTAGATCTCGTCCCTGAACTGAAATTAGAGAAAGGAAAGATGAAGTTTAAGATGGGATTAACTTAACTTTCATATATTAATAATCGTTATTAGGGAAGCTCAGTGGTTAATGGTTCTCTCAGAAAAAAAATTATTTGCCTGTTTAGTGGTTGTCAGTAGATAGACCAGCTATCTGTATGCTTAACTAGGAGATGTAAAGTCGGAGACCCAGGAGAAAAATAAGAGTGCAATCTTGACAAAAGCAATTGAACACAACAACTCATTGATCGTGAAAGCTCCTGATTTTTGGAGATGGATGAACTAGCACATCAACACACACTTGAACTTTAAGGCTTGAGCCACTTCTTTCCAAGCATCTCTGATACGTGAAAATCTGCCCGAAATAATTTTAAAACCCTGCTGTCTTACCTCTTCACCATTTCTAGCACCAGTGACAACTATCCGGCATAAGAAATTTAGTCAGAAAGAAATGTGAGCCTGGTTGCGGAAACCAACAAATTAATAGGGATTCAAGCAGAAGCGCTTCAATCTAATTAAAGAAATAATTGTGCTTTCTATTCATGATAGAGAAGAAAACAACCTATGAGCAAATCTATACGCAGTGCAGGTCTGTATAACTATATTCAGAATGGAAGCATGTGTATAAACTCACTTGCATGCTTTGTTCCTTTACAGAAGAAAAATGATTACGTGTCCTCAAAGTATTTTATCTATAGCAGGCACAAAATATGGCTATTACCAAAGTCAGGTTAGAAGTAGTATAATCTCTCATATAAAACAATGGGAGGCACAATTAAGAGAAAACCTCTATTTTCCTCCTTGGTAAAACTGTATTTGCATTGAAGCTGGTGCCAAACAACGCATCAAATTGCTTTGGTCTCTTCACAAAAATAAAAAGGCAAGAAATAGAAGAAAAAATAAGGGGAGAGCAAAAAAAAAGCAAGAGTCAATGTCATTTATCTGTCGTGGGTCAAAAATGTAAGTTATTAGGACAGTTTCTCAGTATTTGGATCAATACAGCATGCCACAAATCAAGAATGGTATTCTGAACACATACACTTAGTACCTCAACAGAGAAGCAGGTCAGGTGAAAGACTTCTCTGAAATCAGTGAACAGACTGTACTACATGCACTGAGAACAGCAGCCACAGATATGGAGCTCCTGATAAGCCAAACTTAAGAGCAAGTTTTGCTTGCAGGGTGAGGGTGGTGTTGAATACAAACATGGAAACAGTGGTATCTCATGAAAAAAAAACAAACAACACAATAACATATTGAAGGTGTGGTTTTAATACTTTAGGAGAATCATTACAGATGTTCATGTGCAAAGAAACAGGGAAGAATCAACTGGAAATAGTTTTGATGCAACCTTACAAAGAAAAGAAAGGACAGACTGATATTTATTTCTCTGTCACTGTAGCAACTACCCTATCATACAGATTGTTTTGTTTTAAGGAAAACCTTATTTATCCTCAACAGCTGCTTGAAGGGACACACAATATTACATCTGTACAAAGAGTACCATGCATCATTTTCTGGACAATCTAGTGTCATTGCCTGCTCTTGTTCTGAATAATATGTAAATGGTACATTCAATTTTTCAAAACACATTAGCATTTCTTTATACTAGAAGACGTTGTTGACAAAATAAAACCTAATGCATAATTTTTACAGATACGAGTCATGATGGAGGACAGAAGAAAAATTTTAGTGTGCATGTTTGTGCATTTTGATAACATAGCAGCATTTACATGTAGCATGTTTATGCATTACATGGAATCAGATTTGCAAAATACATACCATAAACCTCTTCTGTTTAAACTAAAACAGCCTCTTGCTGGACTCAAGTAATACATACCTAAATAAGGCTCTACATATGTCATCAGTGAAAGTGCCCTTAGCCCTTATGACATTATTGCATTCCTATGATAGATGTGAATATTTTACAGTACAAAAAAGCAAAAGGACAGTATCTGGTATTATCTTCAATAATCTAAAATCTGGATTAAAAAGGAAAAAAAAAAACACTAAATGTAAACATTATAGGAAAAAGTTGAACCTATAAGGTGAGTTTGTGCTTCTCTTCTTCTATTTCCCGATTTGCTGAGCTTCAGAAAATAAAATGCCCCTGTTTTAACACAGGCTGCCATTTACTTTTTATTTACACAGTGAAAAGTTATGTATGAACACAACCACTTTTGCAACAACCCCATATGCATACAGACTGGGGAATGAGAGGCTGGAAAGCAGTGCCACAGAAAGGGACCTGGGGGTCCTGGTTGATGGCAAGTTGAATATGAGTCAGCAGTGCCCTGGCAGCCAGGAGGGCCAACTGTGTCCTGGGGGGCATCAGGCAAAGCATCGCCTGTCGGTCAAGGGAGGGGATTGTCCCGCTCTGCTCTGCACTGGGCCATAGTGAAGATAAGAGTAGATACTGTCCTTTTGCTTTTTTGTACTGCCTCGCTCGACTCCTACACAACATGGATTTCTTTCTGCATTCCAACACACCCCCTCTTCTAGCTTACAGTAAGATAGAGGTTTGAAAATTAGTACGAGCCTCGCTCCAGGTTGGTGCTTCCAACAGTCACGACACACAATACTAGAGAGTTTTGAATTCTAATACAGCTGGCAGGGACAAATAGCAATACCAGCCAACACTAGTGAAATGAAATTGAACATATAGTTTCCATACAAATAACTCACGCAGAGGGTTAGTTTTTGCAATGTTCCATTTGTCTAACCCCTCTTGTCTCCTGTGAAACAGCTGGCTTATACACTTCTGGCATCTACAAATACTGTGGAAGAAGAGACTGTCAAATTCAAAAGCAAAGTATTTCACAATTTGTAGGGAACTCAATATTGGTCCCACACTAAATTAAATAACTCACAGATAGAAGAATTCAGAAAGTAAAGTTGACGTTATCAGCTTTGGCTTCACCCACCCATGACAGCCCCTATTCTGCTGGCTAGAAATGGTCACACACAGACAGCTACCTCAGAAACAATTGTTAGAGGAATTAATGAACCAACAGAAGGCACAAGATCGATAGTCAGAACAGCTTCCTCTGCTAGTCTCCTCCTGTTGTTTCTCACTGGCTAGGTTAAAACAAAGAGGATGTCAATATTTTGACATGAAGCATACAAAAGAATCCATCAACACACCATCCCATAACTGTTCTCAGTTGGTCTCAGGAAGAGAGACTGCAGAATGTGCTGTACATAGTTCTTTTCGGGATAAAGGTCAGTGATAGAAGAAGATGAAGGAGAAGGATAAAAGTACGTTCAAAAGCCATTATTGATGCTATACAACTTACAAACAAAAAAGCCCCTATACTTTAACTGGTCACATCTTTTCACTAGGCCAACATAAAGAAAAAAAAAGGACAATGAGGAATAGAACTGAAAAGAATATAAGTGGGAAACATGTTCTGCCTTTCCACTTACTCCAACTTTCCAAACTTTTTAGTAATTGTGCTTACATACACTCTCTTTGACTGCATGAAGTCCTTTAAATTCAGGAGTATCTTCACTATTTCCTTTTCTTTTTCTTCCTTTATATGGATGGACTAAATCTAAGCTTTTAGACTTGCAGTATCAGCCACAGAACCAGAACAGAGTTATAACCAGTGGCAATGGATTGCGTTTGGATGCTTGCTCTGACGAAAGCATTGTGAATATTTGCTCCTTTGTCTTGTTTGTGCTTCCAGTTCATCACAGCGTGAATCACAACCCCAAACCTAGGATCAACCATAATAAACTGACCACAAAACCAGCTACTGATGTCATGGCAGAGAAATCTAAATATCACCTATTTCTCTAGAAATAAAGAGAACAAACAGCTTGATTTTTGAACACTCTAGTCAAATGCTGAAAATTTCACACCACCATTCCTAAACCAGCTCTGAACCAAAGGCACTTGTAAGATTATAATCTTAACTCAAATTCCTGGATCAAATGTTTGAATCTAAACCAGAAAACTCTCCATTAATATCCCGGAAAATGTATGGTAGGAAAGATGTATGTGCCTGGTCCAGACAATCCAGTGTGTGTTTTTATTTAGACTCATTGCATCATAATGTGCTGCATTACAAATCTTTATAAATAAACTCTTATTGCACCCTTATGTTTATGAGTACAATATTAACCTTTGT